GATTCCACAGAAGACTCACGAAGAGGCCCAAGAATATAACTAAAAATTAGGGCAAAAAAATCTTAGGCCTTATATTTATATTAATGGGTCATCACCATAGATGTTAGGTTTAGGAGATCAAACGGATCAGAGCGACACACGTAGGTCAGATGGTTTGGACCGGGTCAATGGAGTCCATCAAAGTGTGTTATTGGGCAAGGGCCTGTAGCATCTGAAAAAATTGGTCAGTTATCATCATAGCCCAAATTGGCTGGTCTACCAAGAAAATTAGCATCACAGCCCAATAGTATCTTTAATAATTGATGGTCTAAACCGTTGTTGTTCCCTTCATTCTCGCAAGAAATCGATGAAACGCTAAAATCTAGTCATAGTTGTGCATAGAAAATTTGAAATGTATTCATTTCTGATTGTTTTCACCATTAGCTTTCCCAATCAAGAGTTGAAGCATTGATATCTCAAAATATAGCCCAAGATTGAGAGGCCTCACGGTGACACCTTGAACAATCTTACATCCCTTTTTGTACTTTGGTGGTCCATCTACACCATCTTTTCCATGGTTTCATATCATTTCTCAAAACTCTAGCCCAATATAGTATATCTAGGTTATTGTTAAAATTGTTTCAGGGACTGCACGTGACTTCTTTTTAATTATTGTTTCAGATTTTTTTCAGTCAAAATTTAGACCCAGTCTTAGGAGTTGTTATTCAGTTACAATGTGCAGCAGATTATTTCTTTTACTTAGGCTACTTAGTAGTTTTTTAGCTTTCTTTCTAGCTATAAATGTAAGGCTGTCAATTGAATAAATTAATTCCTTTGCTACTGCTCATATCTGCGGGTTCAATTTCTATTCTTTTATCTCTAAAAACATTCATCTGGTATCAGAGCTTTCTTCTCAAGGGATCTATGTGTAATGATGGAAGCTGAAGCTAGTTTTTCTCAAATTGCTCCTCCTGCCTTCAATGGAGAAAACTACCAGTTTGGGTAGTGAAAATAGAGACTTACCTGGATGCTTTAGATCTATGGAAACCTGTGGAAGAAGATTACGAAGTTCCTCCACTGCCGAACAATCCGACCATGGTCCGATCAAGAATCACAAGGAAAGAAGAACTAGGAAGTCAAAGGCAAAAGCAACCTTGTATGTTGCTGTTTCAACAACTATTTTCACGAGAATCATGTCTCTCAAAACAGCAAAAGAAGTTTGAAATTATCTGAAGGAAGAATATGCAGGAGATGAAAGGATAAGAGACATGTAGGTGCTGAACTTAATAAGGGAATTCGAGCTGCAAAAAATGAAAGAATCTGAGACAATCAAAGAGTACTCAGATAGATTGCTTGGCATTGTCAACAAGGTCAGATTACTTGGTACCGAATTTACTGATTCTAGAATCATCGAAAAAAAATCTTATCACTGCGCCGGAAAGATATGAAGCTTCAATAACCACCTTGGAAAACACAAAGGATCTGTCCAAAATCACCTTGGCAGAGCTATTAAATGCCTTGCAAGCTCAAGAGCAACGAAGACTTATGAGATGAAATGATGTTATTGAGGGAGCTTTGCCAGTCAAGCACCAGGATGCTGGGAGGAATAACAAGAAAAAGAACTCTAAGCATAATCAAGTCTCGAGCTGTGAGGACACTTCAAACAACCACAATCGAAGCAAGGGTGGAAGCTCAAAAAGAAATTATCCTCCTTGTAAGCACTATGGTCGAACAGGTCATCCACCATACAAGTGCTGGAAGAGGCCAAATGCAAAGTGTAGCAAATGCAATCAGCTTGGACATAAAGCTATAATTTGCAAAAGATAATTTCAAAAGCAAGAAGCAAATGCCCAGGTTACTGATCAAGATGAAGAAGACCAGATTTTTGTGGCAACATGTTTTTCGACAGGAAGCTCTTCAGGATGTTGGCTGATTGATAGTGGTTGTACAAACCACATAACTTATGATAGAACTCTCTTTGAGGAGTTAAAGCCTACTAGAGTCACAAAGGTCAAAATTGGAAATGGTTGTTATATTCCTGCAAAAGGAAAAGGGATCATTGCAATTACAACAAATTCAGGTACAAAAATAATATCTGATGTTCTTTATGTATCTGATATTGATCAAAAAAATTT